ATGTATCCTAGATTTCTTGAATTGCAGTGACCCTTCCGATAAGGGGACAAGTAGACCCAAACCAGCCAGCAACATGCCCCTTACAGCATAGCAGAGCTGGCCCCTTTGAACAGCTATGTACTGTTCTTATGGAACATATATTACTATGCAAAAGTCAGTGACTCTCCCGTCAAAACAGTCAGTAAGTACAAGTCCTCCTGCCACTGTGAGAAGACAACTCAACACTATGAGTCTGAAAGGATGTATAGCTGTCAAGACGTTACTGAGAAAAGGAGAAAATAGAAATTTGCAAATCAAACAAAGATGCTGGTGTTCTCAGAACAATGGACTGACCACCCCAGAGTCCAGACCTCAACATCATTAACTGTGTTTGGGATCACTTGGATTGTGCGAAACAGAAAATACAACCAACTTCTAAGACTGAACCTTGAAGGTGTGGAAAAATGTCCCTGCAGGTTTCTTTGAAAAACTAAGAGCAAGTCTCCTGAAAAGAATGGAAGCTGTAATGAAGGCAAAACATTTACAATTAAATATAGCTTCGTTTCAGATGCCGTTTAAAATTATACTAATCTGACAATCACATAATGACTAAAACTGCTCTGTAATTTGCAGGTGCGGAATGAAATGTACATACAGAAGAGAGCATGAAAGACAAACAGGACACATTGGGAAGAAATGAGACAGCCTGATAACAGAGCAGAGAGAACTCTAAAAACCACAGAAAACGTAAAACTGCTAACTCATCAACAAGAGAGCAATTACTGAAAAGACAGCACCTTATCAAAGCACCACTTAACGTGGCAGTGGGTGAACTTCCACACCCATCAGCTGTGTCCCAAGGCGTGTAGCTAAGCCCCAGCTAGTGGGATTTGTATGGTCACTTAATAAACTTAAATGTGTTTACAAATAATGGCAGTACAAAATACCAGTGTTGTGATTAACTTGCTATATACTACAATATATCAAATATATGAATAAATTAATAACGTGTCATGGTTATAGATCGGTCTGCATCATTTACTCTTTTTGAATTACATGAAAATCATCATTCATCAAAACACCAACATAAACTCATCTGGAACTGTGATTGGTCAAGATACTCTAAGCACACAGTAGAACACATTAGGATTGTTTGACTGATTGACAGATTGGTGACTTTAGTGATAAATGTACTACAAAGGCCAACACTGTGATTGATAAATTAGATATTGTTCGGACATGCTGAAAATGTTGATATGTGAGTGTCGTAAGATTCATGCATAGTGGACTGAAGGGTCACTTCTCAGTTAATAAGACCAGTAAACCTAACATCTATAGGTGAAAATACTGTAATAATCCAACCTTTGAACTGTCTTTAACAGGTTCAGACTTCAGTTTGTGCTTCCTGCCAAATTCTAGATTTGTTAAAAATAATTAAGGGGTCACTGAAGGGTAAAACACATCACGTCTACTGATTAAAAAAGGGTTTATATTTGCTTTCCCCCTCTACTGACAATAAAAATGAAGGGAAAAAGCCAAATATAAACCACTTGTTTATATAATTTTCTATAAAGAATCAAGAACACTCAAAGAACCATCTGCATGCTTAAATGGAGAATGTGCCGTAGATGGTTCTATATAAAACCTTTTGGAAAAGGGTTCTATATGGCACCAAAAAGGGTTCTGCTATTGTTACAAGTTTGACATGGTAACAATAGCAGACCCTATAAAACCCTTCTGAAAAAAGAACCATCTACAGCACAGTCTCCATCGAGCTGAAGAACCGTTTCACCATACAAACAGCCATTTAAGCATGCAAAGGGTTCAATGAGTGTTCATGGCTCTATTTAAAACCATTGTTTTTACTAAAGAACACTTGAAGAACCATCTTTTTCAAGAGTTTAAATGCATTTAAATGCAGAAATGGTTCTTTGTATGGTGAAATGATTTTTCTCTATGACTGAAAACCAGTTGTAGTTTCTTTAAAGAACCACTTTAAAAATGGTTCTATATAGCACCAAAAGGGTTTCACTAGTGTTACAAGTCAAATAACCTTTTTTTTCAGTACACTCCTAAAAAAAATGGTTCTTCAAGGGTTCTTAAGTAAGGGCAAGAGTTCTACTTAAAATCATGAGTTCTACATAGAACCATTTCATGCTTAAATTGTTCTTTTCTTGGTGAAATTGCTCTTCAGATTGATGGAGAATGTGCTGCACATGGTTCTATATAGGACCTTTTTGAAAATGGTTCTATATGGCACTATTTTATCTATTTTTATCTATCTATTATGTCTATTTTATGATGTTAAGCTTGTCACAATAGCAGAGCTCTTTTTGGCGCTATATGGAACCTAAGGGTGTATTGGGTAAAAAATGAACACTTAAATATAAAATGTGCCATAATTTTTGCACAGGCCACATTTTTTAAGGTTTTGTTGAATTAGTATGTTAAATTCTGCAAATAAACAGCAATTGTGCTTTAAAGCGTACAGAAGTGTGTTCTCTGCAGGGGACCTAAACGTTTGCACACGACTGTAGATATTGTTGCTTACTGCACAACACTATCAGCACTCCAGGCCTAGGATAAAATACAGTTGGGTCCTTCACTCTTAAATGATTCTCCAGAGTTTTAGGGTTCTCAATGCAACCATCTTACACAGAAGCCTGTCCAGCTATTCTTAAGAAACTTAGCTGTGATACGAGCTGTAGCATGTCAAACTGTGGCAAAGTGACTTATAACCACAAGTGACAAATATAACCACAAGGATGCAGATGTCCTCTTGAAGATTGTAGTGTAGGTTCCTCTACAAGCTGCGACTGGACCCATGAATGAGCATGTCCCTAAGCTGTGAGGAATGTTTGTGTGACATATTTTGGCATGCAAACCCACTTTTTTGGTTTTAGACAGCCCATTAGTGCTGCACGGAAATAGACTTAATTAAGACAAAATTAGCCGCTAAATGACGCACATTGACTGACACAACAGCAATCCTGAAACAAGCCAACATAACACTGACATTTAACATGTGGAAGCAGCAGTAGACGTAGTTCTATCTCTAAATGTCCTAAAAGGTTTCCCCTTAGTGAAAAACAGAGGAACCCCAGAATTGTTATCTAGAGCTTGTTTAAAGCTCTAGATCGTATCATTATGCCTAGCCCACCATGCATACAACGGAAAACACAAAGCATTAATCATTTTTAATGCTTAAAAAATAAACAGTAAATTACTCCCCAGAAACATGCATATTCATCCAAAAGGGCGAGTTCAAATTAAGTAGGACATCAGATACAGTTCAGACAAGTAGTTTTGTGTTTTACCTGCAGCAACATGCCTGATTGAGCACAACAAGGGGTTGATGATTACCTAATAGTATGAGTCAGATGCAGAGGTGGGTAGTAACTACTTATATTTGCTGAGTTACAAGACCTTAAGTACAATTTTGATGGATTTGTACTTTTCTGAGGAGTTTTGACAGATGATTTAACTTCTGCTGGAACATGTGATGTCTGAGACGTTGTGTTATGATAGTTTCGAGATAAGAGGTTTGGCCTAAAATGTGCTTTCTTCTTTTTATTTATTTATTCATTTATTTATATAATTATTTTCTGATTTCTCACTATTTTACTGTCATCAACATTACATATAAAAACTCAGAAGATGCATGTAGGTTTGCTGGTTCTTTTGGATAGCAAATAAAATGGCCTTATTTGTGTTATAGACATCGCCACCTCTGGTTCTTATCACCACCACTGTAAAGAAATCTGCAATGTGCCATCCCACACCAAAACACTCTGCATAGCTTCTAAACTGACTTAATTATGCTGGTATTTTGAAAAATCATCAGATTCCCCTTTGGCCTGGTCCATTGTAAAAAGTAGTAGAAGTTGATTTGAAGTGAGGTTGAAGTGAGGTTTCAATCTAAAATATTGCTTTTGTTCATCTGAACCAGGAGTGCCGAAACTTTAACTTTAGGCCTGGAGATCTACCACCCTGCATAGTTTAGCTCCTACCCTGATCAAACACACCTGATCCAGGTAATGAAGGCCTTCAGGGGCTTCTGAATATTAGAGCCAGGTGTGTTGAATCTGAAATCTCCAGGTTGGTAGATCTCCAGGACTGACAGATCAGATCTGCATTGTTTCATGCAAAGCATTTTTTGAGTTCAATAAAACGAATTTAATTGCTTGTTTATAGCACTGTTACACTAACTATATATATATATATATATATATATATATATATATATATATATATATATATTATTTGTATTGCATGTATGTTGCTGGTATATTTCACTTTTATTTTTTTCCTTTAGAAACATCTTTCCGTATTTGTATCAGCCACATATAAGGCAGACAGTAAGTGATCCAAATATCATGCATATACATGTTCACCCACCTATCAGACACTTATATATGATCCATATGTTATGGTATGAAACTGTCACTGGGGTGGGACCCAGTCAGGAAACTGTACCATTATATTTTCTAAGTTGTATTGACTCCACACACCCCGTCTCATCTCCAGGCTTTTTATTTTATTGTTCTGTTTTAAAACATTGGGTTATGAAAAGGTACAAATATGAACTTTTCACCTGGAAAAACTTATTTAAGGTACACAGTTGGACCTTAAAACCACTGTTGTAGCTTTGATGGTACATTTACATTGTTTGTACCTTGATGAATGGAAAATGTACCTGTACAGTACCTTCTAACAGTGCATGTACAGAACATATACGTACATCTATTTTGAAATACATGCCTGACCCTTTATGATGTGTGTATATATGGCCATATATCAGATTTCCGTATGGAAATGTATTTCGTGTATTCTGTTTGGTTGTTTTTTTTGTATGTATGCTGCTGGAACACTAATTTCCCTCTTGGGGATTAATGAAGTCGTATGAAGTACTTTCTGGTACTTCTGTTGATGTGGTATCAATACTTCAACAAACGAGTCTACAGCGCAGCTGGGACAGGCTGTACTAATCTGGGACCATATTAACTGAACGGCGGACCCACCTGTACCACTCGAGCCCCTTATCGTAAAACCTGTCGAAGAAGTGAGGCTCCGCCCCCACGGCTCTGACATCGGGGTGCACGCGCAGGAACTCCAGCAGTGCCCTCGTGCCGCCCTTCTTCACGCCGATGATGATGGCCTGAGGGAACTCCTTGCTGCCGAAGCTGTTGGCCACGGAGAGGTTGAAGCTGTCGCTCGGCGCGTGTTTCGTGTCCTCCTCCTCCTCAGCAGCCCCGTCCAGAGAGCCCTGCCTCGAGGCGTTTCCGCGGAGCTCCTCTGAGGAGAGTTTGTTTCTGAAAGTTTGCCGCTCGTACAGCGGGCTCGGCGTCAGGTCGCAGCAGCCGGTGAGACAGTAGAAGACATAGGTGAAGAGAAGGATCATGGTGAGGAACACGGACACCCTGGACTGAGCTCTCAGGTGTCCGAAGCTGAAACCTGTCGTCCAACATCCCATGGGGAGCTCTCCTTCTCACAGGGCGAGCTGTCAGACGCGGGAATCATGCCGTAGGGAATCAAAGCCTGCAGGTCAGCGCGAAAAACGTCAACACGCAGCTTCACTCATCTCTCTTCTTCCGCTTTTCCTGCCACGGAATTGAGCTGCATTTCCTTCCAGCCGAACCGAAGAGCTGTTAGCCGATGTTTACATCCTGTGGTGTCTTCAGTCAGGCTGAACTGTCAGTCCTCAGCGCTGCTCAACGTTCAGCTTCTACTGAGTCTAAGTTCTTCTGGGGGCCAAGGTGACCATATCGGCGCGCCCGCCCCTTTTGGCGCTTCGCCACGCCCACTGCTGAAAGTCCACGCCCCTCTCATTTGTCGCCTGGAAGGACAGAATCAACTGTCCTCAAAGGCTCTCTACTGTAGATATGATGTTCCCACAGGTGGGTGGAATGACATAAACCCACACTCAGGTACAAATATTACTGCTTGGGTAAAATAAAAGTAAAGTAAAAGTAGAAAACACCATGAGAGGAAGTACAAAAGTATGGGACCAAAAGCCTACTTAAGTACCAAGTACTTAAACACTTTAATCGAAAATAAAATGACTTAAATTAGCATTTAAAGGATGAAAATGTCTGTGTCTGCCTTAATATGGTGATTTTGGGCTGTCCCACCTTACTGACACTGAACCTCTCTGAAATATGTTAATTAAAATCTTCCAGTAACACCATAATTACAATGTTATTTGGTTACATTCCAAACAATTTTTCAAGAATGATTTTCCATAATAATTTATTTAATTCATTATTATTATTCATTATGAATTTAATTTAATTCATTATTATTATTCATTATCAATTTTTTTTTGATTTATGTGAACTATTTGGTTATTAATATTACAACATGTGCACCCTGTAAAGCTCACCACTCCTGAATGCTGCTTATTTTAGGCTAAATTTGCAACCCTGTTCACCTTTTTTTAAAAACCTTCAATTATTTTTAAAGATTTGATAAAAACATTTTGATTAAATTTTTTTTTTAACTGTACCTTCTGCTCCATGTTGTATGCTTTATACAGTTTTTAATGCATTAATATCAGCTTAATGGGGAATGTCACCTCTGTGTTCAACCCTGTTATTCGCCTCAAACTCTGTTATACAGTCATTTATGGGGAAAATAGCTCATATAGTGCCTAATTTGACAGCCTGAGATGGAATAATAACATTTTCTGAAAGTTAAGCACTTTACTTTGTCAAAAACACCAGAGAAAAAAAGTATATGTTTAAAGAGTTTTAAAGCATAAAATAAGCTCTATTCATGGAAAGTGTCAGTAACTGTAGAAGTGCAGTGGAACTTCTTAAATACAGTATCAGCACAGGAACTGAAGTATTTACGACTCTGTTCTTTTTGGTTTCTTCTTTTGGTCTAAAATGAAATGCTAAAGCTTGAAAAATAGAAATAATAAAAAAAGATATTAAACACACCTAAAAGGAATTAGTAACTAAACATGAATAGCTACAATAAACTGAGTAAAAGTAGGTTCTTTTACTTGAGTTTGTCTTCGATATACTTAAGTTTATATACTCACTATACTTAAGTTTGAAAAATCTCAAACTTAACCCCACAGTACAAATCCATTAGTATTTTATTTAAGTATATATACTTAACATATACTTAAGTAAATGTAACTACCCACTCCTGTGTATTACATACAGTTTACGTGTGTAATTTTTTTTTGAGGTATAAGACTATATGCTGTGATATGTAACATCTAGTCTAATACATTTTTCTCATAAACACTGGACAGTTAACATCAGTGATTTGTTTGTCTTTTTTATTAACTAGATTAAAAGGTATTCTGTGTATATATATATATATATATATATATATATATATATATATATATATGATATGTATGTATGTATATATATATATATATATATATATATATATATATATATATATATATATATATAATATAATGTAATGTAATGACATATTATTGTGTTCCCTGTAGAGGATATATTAATGTCATGAGTTACACCAAGTTTGGAATCACTGTTTTCAAGAATATCAGACCAGTTTAAATGCATATATTTATACATATTATAAAATCTCAGCTTCATAGGTTTTAAATTATTTGTAGGAAATAAAAAATTATGAATAAGAAATCCAGAATGATTATCAGGGCTGTAGATGTCTCTAAAATGATTGAGAGTTACTCTGAGAATGATGTCCAGAATGGCACATATTTAGGAAAAAAAGGGTGGTGATCAAATCTTGATGCAGATAAATTATCAATGAGTTGCTGTAAATAGATAAGTACAGTTTACCATTTAATGAGTTCTTTGAGAGCCCAAAAAGCTTGAAATCTTTAACAAAACATCTGAAAATACCTCCCTGGGTCTAGCTTATAGTATTTCAGTCTACACTATGCAAGTTATTCTTGAATAAACAGTAACAGCAATTATTGATTAGTGGAGCTGTAATGTATGTAGTGCACTGTATAGAGATTTGAGGGCAATGTGAGACTAAAGTATTGTCTATTTTACGAGCGTTTTGCATGGCTGTGTGGTTTCTAGTGGTATTTTAAACTTGTTACCGTGAAAGTGGTTCAGTTCTGTTCTGAGTGTCTGCTTGGAGCAGCTACTATGTCTCTGAATAGCAGTGGAAGTGAAATGAAATGTTATCTAAGGTATTTTTATGATTGGTACATTACTGCTACTTTCCTTGTGAGTGTAAAGGGTTGCCCTCTGTCACACATTCTTTCTCACACGTACACACACACTGACCAGTTCACTGAGAGACACCTGTCACTGAGGCCACACACTCAGTGGGAATAGACTCCGAACTGTCTCTTAACCTCTGCTGTCTGTCCCTTTCTCACTCTCTCTCTCACTATCTCTCTCTCTCTCTCTCTCTCTCTCTCTCTCTCACACACACACACTCACACACACACACACACACACACACACACAAACACACACACACACACAGTGCCTTCTTCTCTCTAATTAAGGCTATAATACAGGTGTTATTACAGCCCAGACTAGGTGGTGCCTGAGGCCAGACTAAAAACAACACTCTCTAACTGTGCCTGAATGCTATAATGTACATTTAGTGTTCCTTATGTATCCTTTGTGTCAGTTCTTAATAATAAGATAAGGTGTTTCGTTAGGTTTGTGGTCCACAGTCAGAAACATTGACAAAATGTACTATTTTCTATGTGTGTTCCATCACTGACCGGCTCAAAAATTTGAAATCACATATCACTTATTTTTTTTTCAACACACATTGTCCCTCTTAAAATAATTGGATAAATATTTTGCAATTTCTCAGTAACAAAATATTGCACATTTGACTATAAACTGGGTAACTGTATGCTTTTTTTGGTTAGTGACATGTATGTGACATCATACCAGTCCAGTACAACATCGATGCTCGTAAGTTTTTACTCGTAAAATTATTCGTGACTGTTTTCGCTACTGATGGTATCAGTTATCAGTTCAATAATCCTTCACAAGAGCTTAGTAATACTTAGATAAATACCTAGCTCATCACCCTGATTTATCAGTCTACGCATGCTTTAGTAGGAACTTCAGTATTTCTCCATAGAGTCTGTTTAACAAGCATGTTTACTACATAGTATCTACCAATTTTTTAAGTAGTGCACATCGATTGTGTTTCTTTTTTTAAGTATTTCAAAAGTGTTCTAAACTGTATTCTGAATGCTACCTTTTCATAACGTAACACAGACTGAATACAAATACTTCCTCAGTGTTCTAGATATGGATTCCGAATACTTGTGTATCATTATATCCCAACGCTGTATGCAACAAACTGCAGACACAAGCTAAAAGAGCCTGTTCTTGTTTGGTAAAAGAAGGGGAGTCATTTGGATAAGGACCACCACTTAAAGCATTTCTGTGCCTACTCAGCATTCCATCAGGTATGTTCAAAGTGAACCGCTACAACCTCGGCTCATTTGTGTCCTCCACTCTATCTGTCTAAAAGGCAAAGCGTGGCCTCCACTGATGGCATATAGAAAGCTTGCTATCACAAGCATACAAATGAAACTGGCTCCATGTGATTGAGCTCTTCAGTGTACTCAAGAGATCTGTGCTTATTTTTGTGTACTTCATAAGACTATACCATAATCCTGCTTTCTGTTGCATTGTATGAAAGCTCAGAGTGTGTAAACCAGTAATAGGCACAGAGCCACAAATTGTTTATAAAACTGGTTATGTACAGTAGCATACATCGATATGTAGCTTGCTCTTTCTGCTCTAAATCCTCCTTTTAACTGTTATGACAGGCAAGTCAAACTTGATCTTAGATCGGAAGACAAGGACAATGTTTCGCCTCACCTGTAGTAATGGGTGTGAAGTCCCTAATCACCTTCATCCAGATGTGGTGGGATTGTTTCAACAGCCGGAGAGGCGTTTCTTTGATCTTAATTATGCAGCCGTGCAGGCCTGTGCCCACACATACGCATACTTTAATCTGAGCCCTCAATCAGAGTAGGTCTTATGTGGGAGGAGTTCTCAGTGCTCAAACTGTTCCGAAATCAAGACAAGAGAACTTTCTCGACGCAACTTTCTGAAAAAGAGCATAGAGATAAGAATAAGTGCTTCAGTGCACCAGACCATCAGTATGTAAAAGCTGAAGCTGTCATTTCAAACTAAGGGGTTATTTCTTACATTATTTATTTATTTTATTCATTCAGCCCTGAAGTGACGTTTGCATGGGTTCACAGTTTATATTTACATGCCTCCCCCAAAACCTTCTAAAATTAAACAGGCTGTTTTTCTTACTGTGTTACTGATATTAAGTAAATGTTCAAAAAGCAGTCGTCCTTTATAACTTCAGTGTGAGTGGGCAAAGCTAAACTGCTATGGGCTAAGTTGGAGTGGGCTAAAATATGTAATTGCATTGTATTTTTGTGACATTGTGAACTGAAAAGTACACTTAAACGAAGGTTGGTATGTGAACACTGGTTTCACATGAATAAAATATTTTTATTTCAACACAATTACTGCCTTTCAGTTTACTTACTTCTGGCAAGAATTATGTTGATGTTACATATTTTATTCATGTGGAACTAATGTACACATTTGATATCACAGAATCATACAGGGGCGTAGCCAAGGGATGTCCAGAGGTGGCCAGTGCCACCCTAGAATAAAGCATGGCCACCCTTCTGCTACAGGGTAGTTACCAATCAGCTATAAGAGTACGATGATGCTGCATTTACTAGTTAGCGGACCTAGCTGTGATAGAC